TGACAGGTCTCTACCAGAGACGTATACGGCGTCTCTACGTCACTCCTGCTCAGTCCAGTTATGGTCACTTCCTGTTCACTGGTTGCAAAAAGTCAAGATGGCGACGGCCAAAATGCCGAACTCGAGGCTTCAAAACATCAGTCCACAAACCAATGAGAGACGTCGCGATGACTACGTCCACTTCTTATCTACAGTCTGTGTTGTATAATCTCCAGGTTATGTAAACTGTTTCTGTGGTAAATACTGTTGTTACGACCCGGTTCATTTACAGAAGAGGAAGTAGAGGAAGTAAAACATGAGGTTTACAAAGTTATTTATATGAAAAGTAAGGAGCTCTTTAGTTGAACATAAGAGAATGGAGGTAAAGGTCTGAACTGATGTCAATAATGCTTTTTTCCTCACGGTCTGCTGCCATCATGTGGCACAAATAATCTCTACACCCTACCACGGATATAGAAACCTCCATCTTTCACAATCTACTGCAGGTCTGATGCTCACTGTGTCACATCTTACTGTGATGAATGACTTTTAAAGATCCAGCGATTAGAGATACGTTTCAGTTCCCATTTCTCAGAGCGTCCACATCTCCTGCCACGATCCAGGACCGTCAGGTTTCCAACAGGAATGAGCCAAATAAACTTTGAGAAATGAAGTGAAGAGACTCTGTTGATGTGCACACAAAACTGTAAAACACGCAGAAGTTCCTCCCAAGAAACTAAGTTCAGGAAACCACCACTGAAATGTTTAACTCAACTTTATTCATACAACGCCCCTTTAAATAAACCTGCAGCCCAAAGTGCTTCATGTGGCGATATTGAAACAGCACGTGAAAAAACAGAAAACAACAGGTTTTGCAAGACATTGAAAATAAATAAAAGTCAATAAAATAAGATTAAATAAACCCCATACAAAGAATGTAAAAAACAATGATAAAAAATAGGGCTTCAAATTAAAAGCCATTAAAAAGGTCAGTGATTAGTGTGAGTTATTACCACGTCATCATTACAATGCAAACTGTGTTAAATGTTTATAGACTTTTTACAAACCAATAAATAAACATTAAACATCTTGCAAGTAGTCCATTATGTTTATAGAAGTTTGATTAACTATCAATTAACTATTAATAAATGATGGTTATTAACAGGTGAAATAAAAGAGATTCAGCTGCCGGTCATCCACTAACTTCAGACTTAAATATTGCTTTTTAGTTCATCCAGCATTAGTTCCTATGCGTGTAAGTTTCTAAACTTTCCATCTCACCGTATTGTTGCACCTGCATCTATTTCAGTGCGAGCATGTGAGTGCAAGTGGTCAGCAGCCACAGGAAGTGTGTCTCAGTGGCAACAGCTGCAGTCCGACGGTGCTTCCTGTGAGCTGACAGCTCGTCACTTCTCTTTGTGGACTGCAGGATTCCTGTTCTGCAGGGAGAACCGACACATACGTGGTGAGTAACTTCGGGTTTGCTTCTCTTCAACGAGGCACAAACAGGTACAGATTGTCATGTTCTTTGAGTTATGGGTTTGTTGGCATGCTGTTTTTTTCTGAGACTGTCAACACAGACTTTCCTCTTAGACTGAAGGCATATTTCCATGAATGAGTCCAGGTGAAGCGCTGTGATAGCTCATTGATTTCATCTTCAAAGCCATTTATTTTAATGTGCATGAAAGAGAAATGAACGAGAGGTTAAAGCCTTCTTCGTGGTGCTTTTTCCTGTGGATAAGACATATTTATTACACCAGAGTCAGCCCTTTGACACTTTATACATGTGCTCATAATGTGCATTACAGTCAACCTGCATCGGCATCGAGGTTAAATTGAGGTTTATTTTGATGAAAAGACATTTGAGGTGTCAGATATAATTTGTGTTTATGCCTGTATTTCATCATGTAGTTAGGACCTGCTTTTAAGGTTTGTGGACCTACACGTGTAACGCCTTTATACGTTTTATTCATTCCACCTTTCTCTCAGCTCCTTCACCATGGAGGCTACGGCCAAGTACGACTATAAAGCTACAGCCGGCGATGAGCTCAGCTTCAGAAAGGGAGAGCTCTTGGTGGTGAGAACACACACACACACACACACACGTGCTGTACACCAAACCCTCAGTATCTACGTAGTTCCTATACTTTGTGTCTTCAACAACATAGCAGACGCCCAAGTTATGAATAGCTCTGTGTGTGAAAAGCATTCAAATTGGAGACTGCTGCGACAAAGAATTTACACTTTTTTATGTAAATAACTGTCACCTATGTGACTGCACGTTCAGTAGGCGCTGGGCGAGATCAACAGCACTTTTTAATAGTTAGTGCAGCAGGTTATGAAAATGTGTTATAAAACTGCATCCTGCTGCACGTTTATGTACAAAGAAATAGCCCACAACGCAAAATAGCAACATATATATGTTTTGTCCACGAAGCTAAATGTAAAATAAAGACCAATTTTCTGTTGGTAAACATAAGGACATATTGTTGTGGGTGGAGACAAAATAATTCTCTGAACACGCTGGCTAGCAAGTTTTATTGGCTGCTTTTTTTATGACTGAAAGAAAAACTTGTTTCTCTCAATATGTGCAGTCACTCATTCTAAGGGGTCGCGGTCGTTACTTGAGAAAGTTAACATTAACCAACAGGCCCATATCAGGCGACCCCTACGCTGCTGGCAGACCGGGAGGAGAGCAGACGGGAGCTCCGGAGAGGACGGCTGGCTAGTTAGCTAGCTAGCTCGTCTACCTCCAGAGATGGCTAGCTAGCTAGCTAGCTCGTCTATCTCCAGAGATGGCTAGCTAGCTAGCTAGCTCGTCTACCTCCAGAGAAGGCTAGTTAGCTAGCTAGCTCGTCTATCTCCAGAGATGGCTAGTTAGCTAGCTAGCTCGTCTATCTCCAGATGTGGCTAATTAGCTAGCTAGCATGTCTATATCCAGAGATGGCTAGTTAGCTAGCTAGTCAATCTCAAGAGATGGCTAGTTAGCTAGCTAGCTCGTCTATCTCCAGAGATGGCTAGCTAGCTCGTCTAGCCGTCGTTGGCTAGCTAGCTCGTCTATCTCCAGAGATGGCTAGTTGGCTAGCTACCTTCTCCACCCCTAGAGCTAGCTTGTCCATCTCCAGATTTAAGATCTCCAAGATTGGCTTGTACATGATGCATGAACAAAAACGTTATTAAACATGTTCATATTCCTCCAGGTACCATAAAGTTATGGACTCGTTTTTATTTCCGTCGTACCTCCAAATCAGTATTGTATGAAAGGAAAACTGTGTGGTGTGTTCACCTCGACAGGACTTCAATGAAAGAGAACGAGTCTCATGTGATTGTGTCTCACTGTGTCAGATTCTGCAGGCCACTGGAAACTGGTACAAAGCAGAACTCAATGGGCGTGACGGGTTCGTACCCAAAAACTTCATCAACATTCATCTGCCCAGGTAACACTCACATAGAGGCAGAGAGAGAAGCACACAGAGATACATACACATTGTGTATTTCACAATTCATAACCTTAACTAACTTCTAAAATTGATGAATCCACAGAAAGTTGAGCTTAATGTATTTTTATACATTTCATTAAGTCATGAAAGTGCCATTTCTTTGTCATTGGTGTTACCTATAGTGTAAATATAAATGTAAAAAAATAATTCACATTATAACCTGAAAATTTAATTATGAAACCAAGTTTGTCTTTTTGATTATTACAATTATTTAATAAAACTGCACACGCGTAAACATTGTCAGACTTGTTACTGTTCCTGCAATAAAATATTTGCAACATTTGGACATGTAAACAAAAGTGAAACCTTGTTCAATCGGCCCACCGTCGCTATGTTTACTCAAGCACAGCATGAAACATCCAAAAGCTTTTATTTGTGCAAACATTTGTGCTGTCTGAGACAAAGCAGCCAGGAGGACAGAGGACAGAGGATAGAGGACAGAAGATAGAGGACAGAGGATAGAGGTCAGAGGACAGAGGTCAGAGGACAGAGGTCAGAGGACAGAGGATAGAGGACAGAGGATAGAGGATAGAAGATAGAGGACAGAGGATAGAGGTCAGAGGATAGAGGACAGAGGATAG